CCAGGGCAGGAGGACGGCGTTAGCCGAAGAGTCGCTGGGGTGCCAATTGGTTAGGCAGACAGCCAGCTTGTGTCGCACCACCTCGTGCACGGGAGCTAGACGTCCGGAACCACCGAACCAGGGCAGCCAGGGGTGCAGCCAGGCATGGATGGGGATTGTGTCTGTCAAGGGGTTCCAGGCATCGACGGCGGCCTGGGAAAGCGATAGGTGGCATAAGATCATGTTGAGTCAAAAAGTCCCGAAAAGAAGGTAGAATAATTACTTGCCTTATAGGACAAACTGTTAGAGCCCAAAACTACATATGAAGCAAGGGTTCAGTCAGTCAGTATATTTGGAGTAAATGACAGAAGTTCTGAGAAACCCAATGTAAAATTGAAGTTAAATTGAAAAAAATTGTACAGTTCAGTTTAGTATGCAAAATGCCTAAAACTAATGATGAAACATTAATGTTTAGAAAGGCACTTCACCTGCGGTACCAAATTTTTATCGGCGTCCAAGTTAAAACAAGTAAAACGATTTACTGAAAACAGAGGAGTAGCATGGTTGTAGTTATCTCAGTAATCCGCTAGAAGTTCGGGTTGACCGTTAACAGGCAATTATCCGAGTGTCTTTTGAACACACTAATAGAAGGGAAATGCACAACACACATGGGTAAGAAGCTCCACTGTCGAAAGACTCGCTGAGAAAAAAAGAGCGTAGATTTGTGCGGCAAAATTTATTTTTTAGTTGGAATGCCAAAACAGACAATATTCGGAGTTCGTGAAAGGGAAAATACTTTAGATAAGCTCCGTAAAAACAAAAATCTGGAATCCCTGCCCACTTTCAGAAGACCTTCTTTAATTTGGTAGTAATTAATGTGAAATAATGAAAATAAGATGAGCAGACTTCAGAAACTGCGTGATAACATGGTGGGCCCTTGGAAAGGCAACCGAATATTTGACGCCCTCGCTAAGACCAACGGCAATTTCTTCAGAATTGTGCTCTTCACGCGGTTGGTGGGATCAGTTTGCTCAAAGTTACATCAAATACTACGCTGATAACAAACTTTTCGATGTGCAGCAATTGTAGCTCCTCAAAAGGCCTCAGGACCAGCCGACTACCTCTCACTGAGGGTTCAATGTTGTCAGTAAGAAAGATAGAAGAGAGGCTATTCCATTGATTGCTGTAAGCTAGCAGTACGGAGAAGACAGATTGTGCGAAAACCGGCGTCGCACACACAGGCAGTAAAAAGCCCACTACCAATAGTGGACCGTCACTGCTTCATAGTCGTGGATATATTCGTCTATTTAGGAGGCACACTGCTGACTTAAATCATAAGTGGTCATATCAGTGGTCGCATCTCCTTTTTCTGAGTGGACATATCTTTAGCGCTGGCACTTCTAAAATATCCGCAACCTCTGTCAAATGCAACCCTCAGGGAGAGGCAGTCGCGGAATCCAGCCTTCGACAAAGTCGAACAGGTAAAAGACCGTGATAATAACATTTGCGCTAAGGCATTACACTTTTACGCAAGATCCGAGCCAAGCTGATTGTGTACCAGTACATTCACACTTCAGTGGGATAGCGGTTAACCCGTGCAGTATTAACCTCCATGGATGAACTAGGGTGAGTGGTGAATATCTGATCTCGTGGGTATAAATACAGAACCAAAAGTTGATAATTCAGACAGCACTGTCTTCAGTCGACTACATAACAGCCACTAACTATTGCAGGGAGGGAACCACATGTTTCGGTTTTGGCTAAACCGAATAACAAACATCTGGTACCAAGCAACCAAATTGACAAGGTACAACGAAGGGCGAGACTGGGAACAGTATTAGTTGAGTGTAGCATGGTGGGGGGGATATTTACTGTAGAAGGAATCTACAAACGGGGCAAAAGTAGGCTGACTTACGTGTAAACGAGGCAGAATAAGACCGTCCAGTATTTGTGTTTGCAGAAGACTCTCCGGCAACAGAGACTGCCAGGCCTCCAACACAGCGAGCACACCCTCCGCATCGTGAGGATCCCAGTCGGTGGCGATGGCCCGACGCAGGCGCGGCAGCCAACTAGAAGCAAGCAGGATTGAGAAAGCGTTGGGGTCCTCTAGAGACGATCGCCAGTCTCGGATGACCGAAAGACCGTACTTCGGATCCTGAGGGCGAGAGTAGCGTGAAGGGCGAAAGACAAAATGAGCAGAGCAAACAAAGCGGGTTACACACCATACACAAAAAAGTACAAAAACGCAGAAAATATGCCAAGAAAGAAA